TGTGGATCCTGGTGTACAGGAGTTACAGTGGTGGGCGTGTGGGTGGGATTAGTCCCATTTTAAAAAAAGCCCTTTATTACAAGAAAATATTATACCAATTACGGAATATTGATAAGAAAGACGCGATTGAATATGATTTTTATTATGATTTTTTATTGATTGATATTTGATATGATTGATTGATTGAATATTTGAAATACATATAATATTATTTTTTGGTATTGATTTTTTATTGATTCGTGTTCAGTATCAGTGGTGTAGTCACCTCCTACTAACTTACTATTTACGTATTATTCGTGTACACAAAACATTTCGTAATATTGTATAACGCAGTTATACTTTGAATACAGTTGTTTCATCTGATTATTATACGTATACTACAGAAGATACGCGTCGAGCGAGCGCGTAGGTACACGCGCGATCGTTTTCGATGTGAGGGGAGCGGGCAGGGGAGCGCGGGTGAATTCTTAAATTTTGCTGGCTTTATACGCGCTCTTAACGGCAATGAGCTTGCTACTTATTGCGGCAATGGGACTAACATTATACGCTGCAAAATGTGGCTGTTTACAACGCCTCTGCCTAAGACTCAGGTATATGACATGAGTGTGTGTCCATATGTGTATATGTATATTTGTCTATCTATACTTATATTAAAAAGAAGAAGGGTTAGTTAGTAATTACTGGTTCGAATTGAAAAATTCTTTAAGTATTGGATAGCCCATTTATTGAGGAAGGGTTTATAATGTCACGGTACGAACAATCGGAGCAAAACATCAATGAAAAATGCTGTAAAAACGGGAAAAAATATTCCTTTTGCAACACGTAGAAGATGTTCAGTAGTCAGCCAGTTTACAAAGTAAAAGTCACTTTTTTATCTGGCAGTTGTAGATGCGATTTAAGCTACGCATTCGAAGATCCTTGTCGCGCTATACAATCTTACGTTTTTTACTGCACACTGCCAATTTTATATTTTCACATTCACGTTTTGTTTTTTGAAATTTAACAACGAAACACTTTACAGTTCAGCTCGTGCCGTTAAATTAATTATATGTAACTATAAAAGTATAATTGTTACGAGCAAAACTTACTGGGTAGCACTTCCTTAGAGTATTCTGGGTACTTTAATCCTAAGCAAATTGTTTTTTTTTTCGGACATCTGACACACACACACACACACACACACACACACACACACACACACATCTGAACTTGTACTATGAAAACTAGACCGACTGGATAAAATACTTAAATACTTTTTTTTGTAAAAAAACCGGTCAGGTACGAGTCAAACTCGTGCGCCGAGGGTTCTGTACCTACCCAGATATTATTTAGATTTTCGCGAAAATTTGTAAGTACCAAAATTTATCATTTTTTTTTAATTTTTGGAATTATGCCTTTATTTGTGCTGTAAGACGTTTCTTTTTTTCCAAATTTCGTGATTCTAGGTCAACGGACGGTCTTCTCCATATAGGTTTTCGACCCAAAACCTATAGGGTACTTCCGGCTAACCTAGAATTGTCAATTTTGGTTGAAAGCAGCTAACGTAATGAGAAAATTCTGAAAAATAAAAAAAGTTGAAAATTAAGATAAATTTTGGTACTTACAAGTTTTCGCGAAAATCGAAATTTGCCCATATCATGTTATCGTGTTGACTCAGGACCTTGATTTTTATACACCTAATAGGGACCATAGACCTCAGTATCTGGTATAAATTTCAACTTGCTAGGTCTACCCGTTCCTGAGAAAATCGGTGGTGACACACAGACAGACGGACAAGAAAGTGATCTTATAAGTATTCCTTTTTTACCTTTTGAGGTACGGAACCCTAATACATATAATACATACTCTGAAACAAATATTTGCAGATCATACAAACATTTGGTCCGATCCGGGAATAGAACCCGAAACCTCAGAACAGCAGTCGCATACGCTACCACTGCACCACCGAGGTAGTGGCAGGCAGGCAAATAAACACAAATAGACAACTTAGTAACAACAATTTATAATTACGTATTATTACTAGGATAATAAAAGAACATAGTAATAGTCACGATTTTATACAAATCGTGGTGTGTTTACGACCACGCAGCTCACGCGTTTAAATTTTATATGTGGGTGTCATTTGTTTTATGTTCTTACAGGAGCTAGCTAGTTTGAATCTTGTTATGAATTTAACGATATGATATACAGACTTTGCTTTGATCATCTATGTATCTAGGATTTAAGGTGGTTTAGTATAACAGTAGTAAGTGCCACATGTGCACTGAGATAAGGATTATTGGATATGCTAAGAGACTTATGATCGTCCACTGGCATAGCTTTTACGGACATATTTAGTATTAGCTTCTACCAACGGTTTCGGTCGCCTTGTAGTCGATTTAGTCTGTGAATTTTTCTTTGATAAAAAATCTATGTGCTAATTCATGCACGGATGCATTTGCATATAATTATTGCACGGACGACTGCACGCATATCTCGCCGCTTCGTACTACGCTGAGTGTTGTGGGTTCAACCCCCACATGGGACAACACTTTGTGTGATCCACAAATTGTTTTTCTGAGTGTGGGTGTCCTTTGTGTGCGTTGCATGTATGTTTGTAAAGTCCCTCGCGATACAGGATATAGGTAATCCTAAAGCGGAAGTTGTCTTTGAAAAAATAATTTAACCTATCTCTTGTGCCATATCCATATCCGTTCTAGCGGTTGAGTGTTCATATATTCTCATGAACCTTCGCGTTTATAACATTAAAGAATTTGATATTTTTTTTGGAAAATAATTTCTAGAACACACCCATAAAATCCTTGTGAAATGACTGAAACCGGTTTTGTCAAAGCACAGTCAGATGATTGATTGATGATTTTCGTTTTATCGAGTTTCATATCACAACGATTCTAAAGAAGTTTCACTTCAATATTTATAATAAACTTTTCTTTTCTGTTCCATGGTAATAAGTTGATTATTTCATTCACTTTTTAAACTTTCAGTAACTTTGTGAATCAAACACTTCATTGTTGACATCGAAGTCTCTGTAATCTGACCTCACAGAATAAGCGCGCCGAAATGGCCGCGTTTAAATCGCCGGAAAATTATGGTGATTGTTGTATTTTTTTTTTCTTTACTACTTCTACTTTTTTATTTTTACTACTTACTTTTATTTGTACTACGTACTAGGAGGCGTGTGCTAAAGCATATGTCACTTACTTGTTACTTTTTTAGTCGTAATGACAAAATAATCATCATTAACACTGAAGGGACAAATTTATAAAACTATTATCAGACCTGCCGCCCTGGATGTGTGGTGTGACTCAGATGGACAAGGTTAGGAATGAGTATATACGAGGGAGTCTGAAAGTAGTGCCACTGGATGAAAAGTTAAGAGGTAATAGGTTATCTTGGTATGGACATGTCATGCGGAGGGATGAGGAAAATGTGGCGAAGAAAGTTTTAGGTATGAGAGTTGAAGGGTACAAGAGAAGAGGCAGACCAAAGAAGAGGTGGATGGACTGCGTCAGGGAGGCTATGGCTAGGAAGGGAGTAAACAGTGAGATGACGCATGACAGAGTAGAATGGGAAAATCATACATACTGCGCCGACCCCCAAATAAAATTAGGAAAAGGGTAGGCAGATGATGAATGACTAAAAAGGCAAAAATAAATTATAGTTTATGGCCTATGTCCAGCGGACTGTTAAAGGCTGTTGATGATGATGATGATGAAATTATAGTTTAAATAAACTAAAAGCACGCTTTTGTAACTGGACGAACCAAAAAGTAGAAAGTAATTTTCTACAAGTTAAAAAAAGCGTGGGGTGCTTTTCAAGACATTCCTCCTTTCTAAGGAGAGGCCTATGTCCAGCAGTGGCTACTGACTATTATAGGGTGTGTGCCCCTTAACAACAAAGGGAGGATCCTTCGACTAGACGACACTAGGAATATAGGATACGTGACGCGAGGGACTTAACAGACACGCATGAAACGGACACAAACAATACCCAGACTCAGAACAACAATTTTTCGATTATGCAAAGTGTTGTCCCATGTGGGGATCGAGGTAACCGCTTAAACTACTACGCCATCTGTGCAGTACATCTTTCTACAAACATTCCAATTTCTGACCGTATGCGGTATTTATTATATTATTTTCTTAACTTATTGTGAAATATTCTGTTAACTTATTGTGATACCATTTTTCATCATATTTAACCAGAAAAATGGCAAATTATAAAAAAAAACGATGAATTTAGATGCAGAAAATTTCAATGATTTTCGACTTAGAATGATGGTCTGAATACACTATTTCAGTATTCGTTATGACATCCCTTACACCGTGTATAGTTGAGAAAAAAAAGCTATAATACAAGACAGCTGAAAATTCTCTGTTATATTTATAGGTTTAGGGAACATTTGATAGAAAGTAAACGTACAGTGATTGGGACGGTTAGGACGATTGAAATATTCGTGGATTTTACTTCGAAACCAGCTTTTTCGATTGATAATAAATTACATAATTATAATAAAATAGTTATTTATAATTCCATATAAATGATAATACGCTTATTTCTATCCCAAATTCATTCCGCTTAATTCAATGACCAGTTTAATTTGAACTGGGCGCGTGAAGCTTGAGCGGTTCATAAGTTATTTTTAAATGTTTAAAAAAAGCTTAGATTTCTAATAAAAAAAATTATTAATTAATAAATGAAATTATTTCAGATGCCATGCTACTCCATTTCAGAAAAGTTCTTAAGAAAGAGAATTCTCGTAACGTATTAACAAATGAAAAAACGTTTTTATACAAATGAACTGAAAAAATACTATTTTAAAATATAAACATAGTCAAGTATCAATCAAAACACTGTAATCCTTGTAAAGACATAAAATGTAGGTAGAAAGTACTCGTATAAATAATAGTCAATGATAAAAAATAGTAATGTCTAGCTAATAAAGTCTCACAGAAATCCATAGCGTCAATAATTTAATTATAATAAAAATATCGACTTACCCTGAATCTATATTTTCCGATCGGGGGTCGCGCATATGGTATCCCTTCGAAGCTAGCATATGATCTTCCTTTCGTCGATACCTTCCAAGCTCCTTGGATGACTCCATGGGGGATCCTGATTGTTGGGTTTGGGGCTTGAGCAGCCACCAGCCCTACAACGAGCAGGCACAAAAATAACTTGAAAATCATTATGGCAGATAATTTTCGTTTGGTTTGGCATGCGTGCGCCCGCGCAGTGTACTCGCTGTAAACTGTTTCTGTCTGTTGATACTGTTTATAGATCTTGTCCGCCTTGCATTGTTACGGAGTAGATAATGAATAGTTGTGAATAATGTGTGGTTTTATACGACAACGATATGGATATACTTTATGAGGTATATTGGGAGCACGACATTCTTAATACTGTTTGTGGTAATGGGGTATATAGGTATATGTATATTCTATATATATCAAGTAGTAGTAGTAGGCCAAAACCTCCTTTCTAAGGAGAGGCTTATGTCCAGCAGTGGACTATTAAAGCCTGTTGATGATGATTGATGATATATATCAAGGTTGCCCTGGCTGACGGACTCATCAAAGCAAAGCTGAACCGCTTTTACTATAAACTTAAAATTTTGTTGGCTAATGCCTTTTAAGATTAGGTTTTTGGAAATTTCAAAAGTGAAATAAACATTAAATGGTTGTATGGAAGTTCGTAATTTCAAAGTTAGAAACATCAAGTAAGAAATAATCACGCGAGCGAAGCCACGGGCAATAGCTAGTAACGTAACTTCACAAATCTCTCACTCACACTATGGCTTAGAGCATTAAACTAAATGGAGATGCCAAACAAGGGTTGACATAAGTGCTGAATCAGCGACCGGTACATTTGGGAACAAAAAAGGGATAAACTACGGATAAATTCAAAAGCTTGACGAATATGATTTTTTTTACATTTACATTTGTTACCAAGTGGTTAATGGGTTAGGAACTTTTAAGTTTTATTACTTTACGTACGTAGGGGGTAAGCGTGTAGTAACTACACGCCTCTGCTCTGCCAAAAATGTATGAGCGCCGATCCAAGACGTTATATAAATCAAGTTGCGACGTTTTCGACGTTTCCTGACCATTCGTCAGTTTCCTGGGCATGCGTAAGGCGTAACTTTTTAGTCCAATAAAAATGGTGTGTTGCAGTGCAATGGTGTATTTTGGTTGAAAAAGCGATCAGATACTATTGGTTTAATGCTCTAAGCACTAATAGTATAAGACTACTAATAAAAATACAATATAAGTCAGACAGCATGGCCGTCGGCACTGGAGGGCAACACAATGACCTCTGGTATTGTCTTCGAATGCCATCAAGCATTGGAGCAGCTTGCCACAACAAATGGGGTGCTCCTCCAATGGATTAAAGGGCATAGTAATTCAAATAGGAATGGCTCTGCAGATGAGTTGGCAAGGAGGGGCTCGGTAACCCCGGCCGCTGGCCCAACCATACTCCTGCCTTTTAAGCAACTTCGATCCTGGGTTAGAAAACGTACTCGTTAAGCGCACAAGCGAAGGTTGATAAACTCACCCGGCTGCAGACAGTCCAAACTGGTGCTGACTGAAGTCTCACCACGACTTATTTGCAGACTGATCGGTCTTAGCAGACTAGATATCCGAATAGTTGCAGGAAAAGACAACAATTCATCATTAATGCGACGGACAGTCTTCTTTGCAGACGATACTTCAAAGCAGAAGAAACGGCCGCCCACGTAATCCTGGAAGGAGTGAGTGGTACAATATCGCCGACTTGTAAAAAATATCTGAAAAGATTTACTTACAGAAATAAATATCATTTCATTTCATTTCATCTCCTAGAAGCCCGTGAACGCCTCAGGAGGCTTCTGCGCTTCTGGAAGGAGCTTGGTTGGCTCACCTAGCCAACCTCTTCTAGACGCATAAAGGACCACTTTCGAGTCTAAATGCGGCAATCAAAGCCCACAACCAATACCAATATATGATAGAATCTAAATATTCTAAGCTTCGATTCGTGGTGGTAAATAATAAACTACAGATGTTATAGAAAGAAAGAAAATCAATTAATTCGAGGACGTAACGACATACACTCACAATATAAAGGAAACTTAATACTAGGCTTAAGCGGAAATACGTTTTTACGTGTAGGTACCTCACGCGCCAGTCGAATAGAACCTGTTTCAGCGTCTACTTGACAGATGTCAAGCGCTGGTTTTTAACCAGACGACCTTTTAGTGAGTGACGGATGTAAATCGGCCTATGCAGTAATAACAATTCAAATATTGTTATATGCTGATATAAACTATAGCGTACGGGAGCCAAATATATTTTTATAAAATAACGTTTGCTAAACAGTCTGTTTTAAACTTAGACTGTCGACAAAAAGTCTTGTTACACATATTTCGGTGTCGCTCCAATCCGCTCAGAGCGTGTAACGCGTGATAAGGAACCTCGTTGCAATAAAATACTCAATTATTCACACAATCGCAGTCATTTTAATTTATATTATCAAATATCAAGTTAATAGAGTTAAATTGAAAAAAAATATGATAAAATATATTTATTAAGTACAAAATAAATAATGATAAATTTAACATTGAATGATCTGGGATAATTAAGTTATTAACGAATAAATATTTAGGAACTGTTTAAATTTTATTTTATTAATAATATATTTTTAATTTTAGAAATAAACATTAATTATTTACTATAAAAATATAAACTATAGCAAGAAGTGTCGCAAGAAAGTCTTGTCACACATTTTGCTCTCTCGCTCCCATCCACACAGAGCGTGAACTTCGCTGTAATAAGTACAGGCTACCTAAGTACAGGCGAAGGCAACTCAGCCATACCTAAACAACAATAGGGATTATATTAAAGATATGTCTGTGATTTCATGTTAAGCTGCCTTTGTGCGTCGATTAAGTACCGCCGTAGCCTTAATCTGAATGTTTCATTTCATTTATTCTTTATTGTACACATTTATATTACATAAGTGATTAAGCAAACTATATGTACAAAGGCGAGCTTAATTCTTATTGAGGTAATAATATAGGTATAATATTTCACCAAATTTTACAGCAGGCAAAATAGAACTACCCAAGACAGCAGCCGATCTATGACGGGGAAATGGATAGCGGTTGTGAGCACTGCCCATTTCCTAGCTAGGCATACTAGACACTCAGTTTAATTTGTTATATAGGTAAGATGAAAAAGGTTTCCCGTCAGTCTGAAGCTTTACTTCTTGAAGAGGGCCGTCCAGTCTAACTTGAAATATACATGAGATGAACCTATATCATTAACTAAACAAAATTGTGTGTGTGTGTCTTGTGTCTCTCAAAAGGAATAAATTTTTCATTGATGCCTTATATTGTCTTATATTAGTCGTTGCGTGATGTTAACCAAGGTCACCGACATAGCCTATCAGATCAGCAAGCTGAAGTGGCAGTGGGCTGGCCATATTAGCGGAAAAAAGACGAGTTCTTGAGTGGAGACCGCGTCTCGGCAAACTTAGTGTAGGACGCCCACTGGCCAGGTGGAGCGATGATTTGCGCAAGATGGCTGGCAGGAGCTGGATGCGAGAAGCCCAAAATCGATATAAGTGGCGTGCAATGGGAGAAGCCTATGTCCAGCAGTGGACTGCGATAGGCTGATGATGATTAACTAGTTGACCTGCTCAAATATGTCTGTGTGTGTGTCTTGTGTCTCTCAAAAGGAATGATTTTTTCTTTGATGCTCGGCTTCTATTAGTCGTTGCGGGATGTTTTAGAGCCTTCCGTAGTAAATAGGGCTGTCCAGCGTTAAAATAATTTTTCAATTTCAACCAGCAGTTCCTGAGATTAGCACGTTTAACCAAACAAACTCTTCAACTTTATAATATTAGCATAGACAAATATGAATACCATTCACCCTATTGATCTATAAACTCAAATGAATTAGTCTCTAGAAACTGTTTCAATTTATTTTTAAAGCGAGGATGAACATATCTCCTAAGTTCCTCAAGGCGGGTCGCCCTGGACAGGGCAAACGAGCGGGAAGAGCCAAACACAAAGGGAAATCTCCGTGCGAAGCGAAACCCGCCAAAAGAACTCGCCCGGACGAGTCTCTTAATCTCCAGGGCAGCAGTAAGCGGAGGAAACCTCTGCTAAAAACCAGCTCCGTTAGCTACTCAGACGCGCTTAATTCCAATGACCTCTTCGTCGCAGTTACGCTGGAGCCCTAACATGATCTCACCAGGGAACAGGCAGACGTCATCGAGGGTTGGTTGCTGGGCGGGGGCGAGGAAATCTTCTCCCGTCGTTGCGCTACAGTTTAGGGGCAAGGCCTTCTGGCATCACATCTTAAGGGAGCCCACCTTCAAGATGTGGTGCAAAGATGAACATGCCCTACGGTGGCTTCGCCAATCTCTGAACAACATCACCTCACCGTGCGAGTGGTCAGAAGGCAGTCAGAGCTCCCGAAAAGATGACAGACACAGACAGATCGGGCCAAATGACACACTGGTCCGAATACAAACGAGGCTGAGGTACCAGAACAGCCAATGATTACCGTTTGGCACGTTGCCGCGTCAAGTTGATAAAATTTTCAAAGCTCATATAAATATTTTTATTCTGGTATAAATGGATGTTTTTCGTGGTTGTGTTACTTAAATTGCAGTTACTATTACAAAGGACCATATAGACTTTTGATTATACTGTGAAGTGCATTTTATTATACAATAAAAGCAAGATATTGTTATAAGAAGCTCATAACTTATACTTTTAAGTCGGTACTTAACACTAGTGTGCTGTGTTTTATACGAACGCGTAAGCGACGAGAAATCCACGGCGCTTGCGACGTTTTGGACGCGAGCGCGCTGCAGTGTCTGTGATCCATTCTATAATATTGCACTATTATTGTTTGCAAATTACGTCAACATAAGAGAATTTAAAAGTAAGTACTTCAAACTACTTTTATTGCAAACACAAAGCTCATACGCATATTAATTCAAGTATGTCTGATGCATCTGCCCTGCTGTGGGGTTGTTGCGGGAAAGGTGGGCTTGATGATAGATATATAGAATGTAAAAAATGCCGCAAATCATATCACTACACTTGTATGGCTTTGACTGAGAAAAGCGTGTTGTCCGCGTCGTGGTTGTGTCCGGAATGCACGAATCAAGGTCCAAAAAGTGCAAAGAATGATAATAC